TTGCCACTACTTTAACTACCAGGTTACCACTACTTTAACTACCAGGTTACCATTACTTTAACCACCATGTTACCACTATTTTAACTACTAGGTAACCATTACTTTAACTACAAGGTTACCATTACTTTAACCACCATGTTACCACTACTTTAACTACCAGGTTACCATTACTCTAACTACCAGGTTACCATTACTTTAACTACCTGGTTACCATTACTTTAACTACCAGGTTACCACTACTTTAACTACTATGTTGCCACTGCTTTAACTACTATGTTACCACTACTTTAACCACCATGTTGCCACTACTTTAACTACCAGGATACCACTACTTTAACTACGAGGTTACCACTACTTTAACTACTAGGTTACCATTACTTTAACTACCAGGTTACCATTACTTTAACTACCAGGTTACCATTACTTTAACTACTAGGTTACCACTACTTTAACTACTATGTTGCCACTACTTTAACTACTAGGTTACCACTACTTTAACTACGAGGTTACCAGTACTTTAACTACCATGTTACCACTACTTTAACTACTATGTTACCACTACTTTAACTACCTGGTTACCACTACTTTAACTACTATGTTGCCACTACTTTATCTACCAGGTTACCACTACTTTAACTACTATGTTACCACTACTTTTACCACCATGTTGCCACTACTTTAACTACCAGGTTACCATTACTTTAACTACCAGGTTACCATTACTTTAACTACCTGGTTACCACTACTTTAATCTCTATGTTGCCACTACTTTAACTACCAGGTTACCACTACTTTAACTACCAGGTTACCATTACTTTAACCACCATGTTACCACTATTTTAACTACTAGGTAACCATTACTTTAACTACAAGGTTACCATTACTTTAACCACCATGTTACCACTACTTTAACTACCAGGTTACCATTACTCTAACTACCAGGTTACTATTACTTTATTCACCAGGTTACCATTACTTTAACTACCAGGTTACCACTACTTTAACTACTATGTTGCCACTACTTTAACTACCAGGTTACCACTACTTTAACTACGAAGTTACCAGTTCTTTAACTGCCACGTTACCACTACTTTAACTACTATGTTGCCACTACTTTATCTACTATGTTGCCACTACTTTAACTACCAGGTTACCACTACTTTAACTACCAGGTTACCACTACTTTAACTACTATGTTACCACTACTTTAACTACTATGTTGCCACTACTTTAACTACCAGGTTACCACTACTTTAACTACCAGGTTACCATTACTTTAACTACCAGGTTACCATTACTTTAACTACCAGGTTACCATTACTTTAACTACCTGGTTACCACTACTTTAATCTCTATGTTGCCACTACTTTAACTACCAGGTTACCACTACTTTAACTACCAGGTTACCATTACTTTAACCACCATGTTACCACTATTTTAACTACTAGGTAACCATTACTTTAACTACAAGGTTACCATTACTTTAACCACCATGTTACCACTACTTTAACTACCAGGTTACCATTACTCTAACTACCAGGTTACCATTACTTTAACTACCTGGTTACCATTACTTTAACTACCAGGTTACCACTACTTTAACTACTATGTTGCCACTGCTTTAACTACTATGTTACCACTACTTTAACCACCATGTTGCCACTACTTTAACTACCAGGATACCACTACTTTAACTACGAGGTTACCACTACTTTAACTACTAGGTTACCATTACTTTAACTACCAGGTTACCATTACTTTAACTACCAGGTTACCATTACTTTAACTACTAGGTTACCACTACTTTAACTACTATGTTGCCACTACTTTAACTACTAGGTTACCACTACTTTAACTACGAGGTTACCAGTACTTTAACTACCATGTTACCACTACTTTAACTACTATGTTACCACTACTTTAACTACCTGGTTACCACTACTTTAACTACTATGTTGCCACTACTTTATCTACCAGGTTACCACTACTTTAACTACTATGTTACCACTACTTTTACCACCATGTTGCCACTACTTTAACTACCAGGTTACCACTACTTTAACTACCAGGTTACCACTACTTTAACTACTATGTTACCACTACTTTTACCACCATGTTGCCACTACTTTAACTACCAGGTTACCACTACTTTAACTACCAGGTTACCATTACTTTAAGTACCAGGTTACCACTACTTTAACTACCAGGTTACCATTACTTTAACTACCAGGTTACCATTACTTTAACTACCAGGTTACCACTACTTTAACCTCTATGTTGCCACTACTTAAACTACCAGGTTACCACTACTTTAACTACCAGGTTACCATTACTTTAACCACCATGTTACCACTATTTTAACTACTAGGTAACCATTACTTTAACTACCAGGTTACCATTACTTTAACCACCATGTTACCACTATTTTAACTACCAGGTTACCATGTCGCTATATAAGTGCAATAATCTTGGACGCGACGTTAAACCCAATTTCACCTCACCGCACCTCACCAGGTTACCATTACTTTAACTACCAGGTTACCATTACTTTAACTACCAGGTTACCATTCCTTTAACTGGAAGGTTACCTCTACTTTAACTACTACTTTGCCACTACTTTAACTACTATGTTACCACTACTTTTACCACCATGTTGCCACTACTTTAACTACCAGGTTACCACTACTTTAATCACCAGGTTACCACTACTTTAACTACCAGGTTACCACTTCTTTAACCACCAGGTTACCACTACTTTAAGTACTAGGTTACCATTACTTTAACCACCAGGTTACCACCACTTTAACTACTAGGTTACCACTACTTTAACTACCATGTTACCATTACTTTAACTACCAGGTTACCATTACCTTAACCACCAGGTTACCATTACTTTTACTACCAGGTTACCATTACTTTAACTACCAGGGTACCATTACTTTAACTAATATGTTGCCACTACTTTAACTACTATGTTGCCACTACTTTAACTACCAGGTTACCATTACTTTAACCACCATGTTGCCACTACTTTAACTACCAGGTTACCACTACTTTAACTACCAGGTTACCATTACCCTAACCACCAGGTTACCACTACTTTAACCACCATGTTGCCACTACTTTAACTACCAGGTTACCATTACTTTAACTACCAGGTTACCACTACTTTAACCACCATGTTACCACTACTTTAACTACTAGGTTACCATTTCTTTAACTACCAGGTTACCACTACTTTAACTACTAGGTTACCACTACTTTTACTACTAGGTTCACACTACTTTAACTACCAGGTTACCACTACTTTAACCACCATGTTACCATTACTTTAACCACCATGTTACCTTTACTCTAACCAATATGTTACCACTACTTTAACCACCATGTTACCACTACTTTAACCACCATGTTACCTTTAATTTAGCTACCAGGTTAACACTACTTTCACTACCAGGTTACTATTACTTTCACTACTAGATTCACACTACTTCAGCTACAAAGTATGTCGCAATAGTGAGCCGGGATATTAGGTTTCTAAAGTTGTAACTCGCTAGAACACCATCTCCTATACTCTCGGGTTCCTTACGGTCAACTAAATGCTGAGTAATCAAAATCAGGTCACCCGACGCCGCCCTATGTATGGTAAATGAAATGGATCTGGAAATAATCACTTGCTGTGAAGTGAAATATTTATGTAAACCAGATACATGCTGGCTTGTGCCATATGTGGCCACTTTCATATCACGTTAAATTAATGCTCTACAATAAAAAATAATATTCTTAAATAAGTAGCTTCATTGTGTTCTATTGTGATGTGTGCCTAACTTTATGCATATATATTAAAAATTGTAATTACGAATGTCGAGGAAGTCAAATGAACGTTCCACAAGCGGCTGTATCCTATATTATATGAAAAAAGAAATGGTAAGTTACATGCATACTATACTACTAGATCATTTGTATTGCGCTATTCCATGCTGGGGGCCATAGACTGGTATTACACGGGGGAACGGGTCAGTGTGCTTTCGAATGTCATTCTCCCCCCCCCCCCCCCCCCCCCCCCCCCTGGTTACCATACGCCCCAACCTGTCCATGAGATGCTGAAAGATTAATAGCCACGTTATCATCTATCCTACCGGGTACCCATTCACTGCTGGGTGAACAAAGACACTGCCCTAATGAGACACTACATGTAATCTGTTTCAGTGTGGGGCATGACCGAAGCCCTAGAAACTCCCAGGAATCAAGCTGCCGAACACGGTCACCCGTCCACCTACCCAAGTGGAGTTCACCAAAGTGGTACCCGCCAAGGCCTGCACCACTTCAAGATATATAGGCCATGGTATAACTTCAAAACGGCGTTAAACCCAACTCACCCACTCATACATTACCAGAAGTACTTTCGTTTTTCCTCAAGACATTCTTATAAAGAGAATGATTGCTCACGAAACGATCTTAAGAATGGATCGTTATCAGGTGGCCTGGCCTGGCTTTTACGGCCAACCGTCAGACAAGCAAGATAAGGTATCTGTAAACAATTGGCGACACATTTTCCTCAAATGGACTCTAAAAGTTTTATCTAACCATGGTATTATCCAACAGTCTAGTATTTGGTAATAATTGTGTTCGTTCATTTATTAAACTCACAAACGGGTAGAACCATTGTGTCAATTAGGATAAATTAGTATATTTACAGGTTCTTAGCATGTAGATTGATTGGTGGAGTTTGGCTTTAGACAGCTTTGAAAAGAAAAATAGCTATATACGGTCGCGTTGTGAAATTAATAGCACAAATAGCATTCCGAACCCAAAACAATAATCAATGCGAATCTGGAATTTAAGCCAGACAAACAACAATAATTTAAGTCTTGTCAGACCATTGGTCACCCGTGTGCATTATATATTGAACCAAGATCGACCAATGGATTGACATCATCTAACGTTCTGTTGCAACACTCTCGTAGAGATAACACAATAGATATTAATGGTCGTACAATCTACCCATGACCCATGACGAACACAGCCTCATGGACCCCAACACACCTTGACGAGGAGAGTCGAACCCAGAACGTGAGCGAAACGAGCGAACACGCGTACTGGCTGATCGACATTAAACAGTGTAGAGTTGAACGCTGCCAGTGATCAGACATTTTTAGAAGTCATAAATTCAGTTGAACATTTTACAGGTGCGCCCTGCCTTTACAACAGCTAAATCCCCCGTCATAACAACGCTCGTACAGTAGATAAGCTATGTATCACTGTATTACAACCGACCACTCGGACTGCCAAGCTTAGCTCTGTAAATACCAATGTTATATTGTTTCCTCTGACCTTGGTACCGGCATACATCTGGAGGTACACGCCGACTTCACCATGGAGACGTGGAGAGACTGGATCCGGAATCTGGGGTAGTAGCTGGTGTTGGAATTACACACACGTGTCTAGAGGCATAACGTTTTCATTGTGTATATTCGTCAACGGATAACTACATGGATTAATATGGTGATGTGACTATCAAACATTTCGTCGGGGACTGGATGAATACTTCGACAGAGACTATCTTATGTTAAATCTAACTATTGATGTAGGTGGATCTCAGAAGCGTCTTGACCTTTCAGGAAACAGCAAGAAACATTTCGATTTTAATAGCAACACGTGTCTGGACCATTGTGACATTCCGAACTGTGGATACTGATTCCGGTTTATGGTTTCTGTTAACTGGATCACAGATTATCGTTTGAGTCTAGGTAACCGGTTAGCGACAATGACACTGTTGACAAGCCACGATCGATAAGATTGGACCTATATCTGCCGAAAGCACCACAACAGCATGAGAAGGTCAGGCGGCGTCTATTTCTTCTTTATTATATCTTATGTAGTCCAAAGCTGTTTGAGAAATTTTGTAAAACATTTAATAATTTTATATTATAGGTTCACTCAATGACAAGAAATTGTTATCGATTTTTTTATAATTCATAACATCTTTTTATAAGAAATATAGAGGATATACAATATATAGTCAACAGTAGTTGTGTGTTAAGCTTTAGACATTACATGATTAGAAAACATTTCCTCTAACTGTGTAACATAACAATATGAATATTTCCTTTTTCCTTTTATTATTACAACATGTTTGTATCGTCAAATATCGCGTAGTTGTCCGATTTTCGATTAGGAACGTTGCTACACCTTAATTTCGTTTATCCGACGTACTCGTTAATCCGACATAATCATATGAACAACCATGTCGGAATAACGGGACTTGGCTGTATAAAGCAACCATATTTATTGTGGGTCAGATATACTAGGAATATCAGTAATAGGGTTAACTGATGCACCGTGGAAACTGTCCCAACTCAAGATAGCATGCAGTGTCACGACTTGAATCAGCCTTGAGACTTGACCCATTACAGGCTTTGTGACATCACTAAATGACCGCACACTGCCAACACCTGTACGATACTCAAGCGTACCTTCCATTGCAAGCATTAATACCTGTATATCGGCGTGTACTACAAATCTAGGTTAACCTCGCAGGTCTTGATAAGACGGATGAAGCATCATTGAACAGGGTTCTGCTAAACTCAGTACATTACATCATTATGTGGGTCATTCGATTCGCTTTCGCTCGTCAGATACCACAACTATTTGTTTCATAATATTGGTTTTACACGGGAGCGAGTTTAGTATTTTTTTCATTACTTGCCATTTATAACGTTTTTTGAATTATACTGTTGAGTAGGAATAGGCTGACACCGACACGACCCACGGCATAGTCCAATTGAGTTTAACAGAATAATACTTCAAACACGTCAATAGTTGAAACGTATGAATTTAATACCATACAACGGTCCACCTTTAGAGTTCACAAAATTATCGTAGGGCTAAGACTATCGCAACTCACATACTTTAACTTAGACTAACGACTGTCGTTGCGCTACAATACGATCGCCTTGTGGAACGGGCCTTGCACCTCAAAGTTTACAATAACGTCACAATACCCGATGACGTAATTTGTGGAATTTTGTTGCAAGATCCAGCGGCGAAACAATGCCATGTGCCGTCTGCCTAGCAACAAGGTTGCTGGGGTCATCGAGTGTGCATAAGGTCCTCTCAGTGATCTATCAAGTCCACACGCGATATCGTTGAATAAGCCAAGAGCTTTCTATATTTACACAATGTGTAATACAGCTCTATGTTTATTAAACGGGGGATCTCTTCCCGGGCAAGTAATAAATTATGTCATTCGTCACAACTCGCCTCTTTCCGTAACCTGCAAGAAGACTCGTCCCCCTATCGATGAATGTTATGTGCGAAAATACGACAAACCAATCAGAATGCGCGTATGATTTCAAGTTCTTCGTCAAAGAATCCCTCAGAAATATTTTTTTGATTTTACATGTCTTGCATCTAAAAATATACCCAATGCACAGTTAAATGTGTTCAACCATACTGTATAATTCCGCATGTCCAGATGTGCTTTAAATTGCATCTGAAATATATATAATATATGGGGAAATATATGTGAACCATAACGCGACGAGTTGACAATTATTTTAGGTATGCCTGTTTGCGCTAAGACGGAACCCGGTCGCAAAAATGGCCATGAGAGGGGCACGAGTCGCTATTCGGCTTGTCCTGGAATAACACGAGTTGGTCACGAATGAAATTATGTTAATTTTAAAGGTTGACGATCGTTATTTGCATGCTTTTACGATTGATACAACAACACGGAATTCTGGATTGCTGACAATATTGTTCAAACTAGGCACCTAAATCCCAAGCGTGGTCATTCTAGATTAAACACATATGAACCGATCCTTAGCTAAATGTTTAGTTTCTTTTATCTCATTTTCACGTTATTATAATAGATTAGCGTCAACTGGCACACACTGGTGCTAGATCTAGTCCTTGTAGCTTTACATGAGCCTTATCACATGGGAAAACAAGAGCGGTGAGGTTGTCCAGGGTAAAACACATCATTATCCCTGGAAATAAAGGTAAATAGGAAACATTTCGGTCATGACTGATATTTTTTCACAAATATACAAATATAACCATATCAGTATTTATCATTGCTTCATAAGATTTATAAAAAAAACTGCCATTACCACCAGAAATCGATCATGCATTCATCACATGAGTTTGTGAGTTACAAATAAATCATACAACCGTAGAAAATATTTATTACATGTCACTAATAAAATCATTACATGGCTTAGAATTCCCCGTCATGTGTAAAAGATGTGTATTTGGCAAGGGCGGGTAACTTCCATACCATTCCATTGGTTTAAGGTTAAAGAAATATGTCACCATCCTAGGAAATACCTAAAAATATCAACGCCAAACCTTTTGTCTTCGATGTGTTAATATTTCAAATCTACCTCAGCCTTAGAAACTGGCACTCAACTCTGGCAATAAACATATTATTGCCAGGCTATTGCCTCAATAAAAATTAACCTATACCATCATTTATCATAAAATGGGTAGTAGGGTTGGAACGGGTAACTCCGGGTAACACGGGTACTCGGGTCGGGTGGGTACATAGTACGACACGGGTACCTTCAGGACTACCCGGATCCATGGTTAGTCACGTGATATATTGTTTAATGACCAAACTTCTGTGTAGCTCGAAGGTTACACTACAAGTCGCTAGTGTTCGCATTTCTTTGTGTCTATGCACGCATTACTTTTGACTTTTATATGTTTTGAGTAAAAATAAAGTTTCAGTCAACTTCAGCGTATGCATGACCAGATCGTTTTATATACGTGTGTACCAGTGTTATGGGTTTTCGGATGCTTAAGAAACATTCGTAGTTTTCTCTTTAATTACATGAACAACTGTAACAGATCTCATTCACTTATAAATGACAACATTCTCTTTAAAACAAGCCATCATCTGTCTACTTACAATGTTTGTGTGATGCTACATACCCCATAATTTAGCGAGGACACTAACCAAGAGGGATCGGTCTTCAACTTTCCATAGCGGTGCTTGTAGACCTCTGCGGCTTGGAACCTTTCCCCCAAATTAAAACAGTTGGATTTGGCCAAAACATGTTCCGTTTGTTTGAACGCACTTCGAAACCTAATGACGGGACAGGCTATAAACAAACGTGACGTCTCATAGACTAGGGCTAGAGTAGCTTCCCTTTGATAAAGGGCAGTTACTCTAGCGGACCACTCTCCTACCCAGAGTTCCGTGCGACCAGCCTAGTACCTCTGCCACAGGTCAGCGCCATGTGACGATTCGTCACATCTTACACAGTCCATTCAAGATATTGCATATGTATTTCATCTGTTTCATCTTCGACACGTACACATATCTAGATAAACGTATGTCATAGAATGGTTAACTTTCATTGAGAAAATATCCTAAATCGTGAAAAACTATTTCCATTTGCATGGTTTACATTGGTTGGACGGCTCCACGTGCTGTCATCGAAGCCCTACGGAGAGCTAGCGATAAATCACTGTGATGTGTAAATATGTATTGTCATGCAACTCACTGTAGCAGTTGTAGTAGCTTATCTATATAATTATGCAAAACAGTATGTAAAGCGCCCCCAAATATTTGCATGAGTCCCTTCTAATTATGGTCACGTGATATGCAAATTAGCCTGTGGCAGCCGGGGGTTATGCTAAGTCACCACTGCGCCGGAGTGTGCTAGCGGACAAGACCGCGAAAGGCAAGTGTTAACAATTTGTGAGGCAGTTGTTGTTTTGCCTGTATTTAGTTACGCCACTGTATATGAAACAGGTTGCAGATGGAACTATATTGACTGTTGTTACTGTCCGACAGAAACATCACTTACCTTGTGACGTAATATATATTAATGCGCACATTCCAGGACACTTGCAATTATTGGGTAATATTTGTGAGAGATGGGATGAGAATTTTCGAACACAGAATTGAAAAACACTATGTATTTAACTCCCTAAGGCTTGCTAAATACTATGTTTATTCCTAATACAGGACATTTACCATCCCCAAATACACAATTACCTCTATACAACTAGTTAAAATTACTTATAACTTCCTAATTAATATAAAGCATTATACGGATTGGGGACTTAAATGCGTTCAATTTTATAGATGTGTCTTTGCCTTGCCTGAGTCACACTTAAAAGGCTGAGTGAAAGTCTATATGCTTGTCATTTCTCACCATTTGTTTAATTTTCAAGAATTAATATTAACAAAATGATTAAATAATTGCAAAGAGTAACTGTCAAAACATGTGACAACTAGAACATCGACAGCTCCATGCACACTGACGAACATTTTACAAAATCAACCTTTCTAAAATGCGTCAACCATGTCTCTGAAGCGGCTGTAAAATCACGCATGTGCTTGCTTGTTGTTTGATACCGCACAATATTCGATGGTCTGTATATATTCGAGTCTGAACTAGACAATCAAGAGATTGACATTACATCGATCCGATCAACTTGATACAATGACCCCGCCTATTAATTTAGCCGCCTCTTACGACCTGCATAGTTTGTTGGGGACCTATATTCTTACATTGGGTGCCCACGGATCGATGTGTCTCAACTGTATCAAACGTGAATAAAACGTTTGCATGTTATCGGTGCCACAAAATCGTAACAATCATAATTATTTATATCAATGAAATTTGAAGAAAAAATATTACCCTTTTTGACAATTCCATGTTTTTCTGTTTCAATATTTCTGTCTAAAATAAATTCCGTCAGTAATTAAAATGACACATTAGTTATAAACCTGGCGAACCTTTTCAAAATCCATGGCAAATAAAATGATAGAACTTAAAATGATTTGGTGAAGGTTAAAATTTGCCCTCAACAAAGATGATTGCAAGAACGAATTTTTAATTATTATTCATTTCCTGAGACCAGAATTATTTCTAATGTAAGCTAAACACTCAGTATACAGTATCCTTAAATGGTTTCAGCATATGTTTTCAATTACTTTTGTCAGTTATCAAATTAACGAATGTTAAATCGCCCGGACTGAGGAATAAATTAGTGAATGTCCTCAATTTTTAGAAAACACATTCAAAAGTAAAAAGTAATTAAATTAATCGTCATAATGCTACCACTGTACTAGTAATAGTTATTTACTCAAAGATGATATATCCCGTAATAAATACAAAAACGATGGAAAGCAATTATTAAAAGAAAGTAATACGGGTTTTGAATTTTTAAAAAATCACAGTATCAGTGAAAAGAACATGACCACAGTTAATTTTGCCTTTGAGTATTCATCGTGGCCTTATACAAATGACAAATCATGTACATGTATGACTAGAGCCCCGCGGGGATGCCGTAGAACATTTGGTCCCCAGTATCCTCTCCTTGTTATGAGTCAACTTGAGAAGAACTGCTCCCCAGTACCCCAGACTTGTCGAAAGGCCCAGTTACTTGGTTGATTGCGTGTCATCCTACCCCGATAGCGTAGATCTTTGCGCATGGTTTCCAGCCACTGTCTGGTCCAGGCTCGATAATGACAGGCCGCTGAGATATAGATGCACTATTTCTGAAGGCAGCGTCCGGTTTTATCCTCTTCAGTACCATGTCCCATAACGGCGAGATGAAAGCTCCTCCCCCAGGCGCTGAGATGTACACCCGGGCTGGACGCAGCACCTACCTCCGTATCAACCTCGACTTCCTCTACAACAACATCTCCATTCTTAAGCAGCAGTGTTCGCCACATACAGGTTGCGATTATCAACAATAACCCATCTCCTTTCTAAATGATCAGAAAGCTTCTTCTTTGCCTTGTGTTGTATTGAACAATTACACAAGAAATGGTATATTAAATAGGTTATTTATAATAGGTTTGGAAACATTTGTACCCATTACAGGAGAAGAGAACAGAGAGATATTATCATTATGTCTAATTTACCGTCAGCTGTTCATTTGATGAGCTCAATTTTACATTAACATGAACTTAAAAATGTTTGATCTGTGAACCTTATAAGTTCCAACACTCTTATTCAATATATCGTTTAACATACACTCTTCAAAAAAAGAAACGCACAGGTAGACTTTTAGTAAATGTATTGTACCTAATAAAGGCGATTTATTTAATATGATAGATACAACTATGCAATTTTGGAGCTCGATAGTCACATGTTGTCGTTTTACAAAGGCATTGAAAAACTGTTCATTGTCATGTCACATAAGGCCTCAAGGTTGCGATGAACTCAGTATCTCATGTGACCGCCCCGGGCAGCAATCACGGCTCTGCATCTCCTCAGCACCAACTGGATAAGTGTACAAATTCTGTCCTGCGGAATTCTGCGCCATTCTGCAAGTAACGCGTTGTCCAGTTTTTGGAGTGTCTGCGGCGTGTTCATCCCACTGTGTGTATCTCTCACAAAGGCGGCAAATGGTGCTGTGGTGGACGTTGAAGTGGCGTGCAACAGAAGACTGCGGTTCCCCTCTTTGGATACGTCCTATGGAGATGTTCCGATCGGCAGCGCTGAGTTTCGGCATTTTCCAACGTGAAAAATGTTGACAATTGAATGACAAATTATTGGCTTATGCTGGCCTTTTTATAGCCACTACCACTAATAACGAATGCCATACCTTGCATGTGCATTTTGCTTTACTGTTTTCCTCCATGACAATTTTTAACAAGTGTGAAAACCATATGGTTTAAGACATTGCAAATCGACAATGGCTGCGTTTTGACTCACCGTTTGTCGAATATCAGGCCACCAACCGGAGTTTTTGTGTAGTCAGGTTCAATGAACTACATAGTAGCTGTGCGGTTCTTCTTTTGAAGAGTGAATATCTTTATGATCACATCAAAACTCGTTATCGACCCTATAGTCTAACATCACAGCTGCGCTTGTCTAGAACTGCGGATATGTCGACATATATATCCTGTTATCTGAAGGACTTCCAGGTAGCATAGATCGCTGTACATGTGCAATGAACGTACCATGGGTCTATTTGTGAAGCCTTTCTTTCAAGCAGACGTCATTGCAGTGGTGAAAGCCAACGCCTACGGTCACGGCAGTGTGGAGATATCCAGGTATCTGGAGTCCCGGGGGGTCGGGCACTTCGCCGTCGCTACCCCCGAGGAAGGCGCTCAGCTCAGGCAGGCAGGGATAAAGGGACACATACAGATATTAGGTATATACCTCCAAGTTACGTGGTACTTCTTTCCGTTTGATATGTGTTCTTTGCAAAGATGATTTCGTATGGTATTTTCTACCCTTTTCCCCTTTGTGGACATCAGGGTGTGTTGGTCTGTGACGCTGCATCTTAATTTTCAGAGTAACGTCCCTTAGCAGTGCCAGGATCCTTAGTTCGTTGATTCTTATTCAGTATTCGCCTCGACATGATTCGTGGGGTGTTGCCATCATATACGTGCTCGCTTGAGTCAAAGTGGGAACTTCCCAGCCTATGACCAGTTTCAGATCGGTGTTGTCCCACATTAGCCTGATGTAACTGAAATACTTTTCAAAGTGGCGTGAAATCCATCTGACTCACTTCCTGTGTACAGCAAATCCCGACTCACTCTTTTTCAAAGAAAGGGATATGTTTTCTTTAAAATAAAACAGCAAACGTCTTCATGTATATTCTTTATCTATCACAGGTAACGCCGTCGAGGAGGACATCCCGACACTGGTGAACAATAGGTTGACACCGACGGTGGCAGAACTAAACTTCCTTCAGGAATGGTCTAGGGCTATCACAGCAGACCCCGTCAGTAGCAACAATGCCGGTAACGACACCATCAGTAGCAACAAAGTCACCGACAGCCACGCTTTACAGGCGAGGGTAACTTAAAACTAGTGTGATTAAAAGTGTGATTTCCTATATGCTCATTATTTCGAGGCAATACGGTTACATTTTTACCCTGTTTATTCGTACGGTACCGTTCGTATCTAGGGTTGGGATAAACAAAGTGTATGTGTTGCGTCATGTGTGAATAAATTATAAGAAGGTATCGGGTATTTCCAGGTTAGGAAGAGACACCAGCTGGTGCTGAAGATAGACACGGGGATGTCCAGGAATGGGTGTCAGACTCAGGACTTCCCCTCACTTATACAGGTGGGTACGGGTGTTATTCCGAAAATAACGTTGGGATGGTTATATAGTTGCTGCTGTTGCACATAGTGTGTATATTTCTGCATATCAAATATGCGAATATAATACATAGTTCAAATGACGCCTGTCAGTGCAGATTGTGGCCATGATGAGCCGCACGGTGTAATTGTCTCTTGTTGAACTGGGCTGAACGCTACATATCACACTGGGTAATCATGTTTATCGCGAAACCTCATCATCCTGCTGCTGCTGAATTATGAGATGAATTATGAGATAACGTGAATTATATTTCATTGAGGTGAGGGGGAATTTAAAAATTTCTTTTTCCCTGTAATGATTGATTTTAAGAACAAAACCAGATTTTGTTTTTCATCTTGCAGTGAATGCATATTTATCAAACGAGATTCGCTATATTTTGAGAATACATGCAGGGATCTCTGGCTGGTATAACAATTGTCCCCTTGCAGTTCTGCCAGACACAGGGTCTAACTGTCCACAGTGTCATGACGCACTTTTCTCAGGCCTGGGACAACCCCCACTTCACCAAGCAGCAGCTGAACACCTTCACGACGCTGGTAGAACCGCTCAGGTATACTCGTACACCCTGACTAGTCTGTGAAACATTACCAGTAGGTTTACTAACATGCTGTGTGCTAGAACCGCTCAGGTATACTCGTACACCCAGACTAGTCTGTGAAACATTACCAGTTGGTTTACTGACATGCTGTGTGCTAGAACCGCTCAGGTATACTCGTACACCCTGACTAGTCTGTGAAACATTACCAGTTGGTTGACTAACATGCTGTGTGCTAGAACCGCTCAGGTATACTCGTACACCCTGACTAGTCTGTGAAACATTACCAGTAGGTGTACTGATATGCTGTGTGCTAGAACCGCTCAGGTATACTCTTACACCCTAGCCTCTCTGTGAAACATTACCAGTAGGTTTACTGACATATGGTGTATCATTCATCAACGATGCAACGCTGCATATTTGCCCTTAAGACATTGGTTGCAGGTCATTAAACAGAGAAACGTTTATTTTGTATGAATGAGTAAATGTATAATATAATCTGGAAAAAAATAGCCAATGGGTACCAAAAAATATAAATAAAATTATTAGAAACTGTTACACCTGCAATGCCAACTTAAACATATGAGCATCTTCATTTCATCCATGAACTACACGGTGTATCTCTAGTACATACATGCCTCTGTTTGGTGACGCAGCCTGCCTGCCAGTCACAACTTCAATATGAAAGTGTGAAATGTTCGCTATATGTATAGCCATGTTGAAACAGGCGACTGGGTGACTTGTTGTCTTCTCAGGACAAGTGGAGTGAAGGTTCACGTCGCCAACTCCGCCGCCATCATCAGAGGGTTTGGGACACAGCTGGACTTTATCAGGCCTGGGATCTGCATGTACGGGCTTCCTCCAGGTCAGGCATGTGTCGGGAACAGGACTCAATGGTCTTTCAAGTATTTTACAAACCCAACTATACCCACATCGGCGTTTACCAGCATACAACTACCACATCACCACTACACCACGACATCACCATCTCCTCTACACCACGACATCACTGGATTCCTCCACACAATTATCACAGACCTGCTTTACCGCCACATTAGCACATCACATTACCATCTTCTCTAACCAACCACATCATAAAACCTCCACCACACCGCCAAGCCACAATAGCATACCGCCACACGCATTTAATATTTCTAATATGAGCAGAAATTGAAGCCTTTCATTGAAAATTTTGGAAAAAATACATACTGAACATGAAATATTCCGAATTTTCATTCCTCAGTGGAAAAGTTTGGAACAGGACTCAACGGTCTTTCAAATATGATCCAAGTATTTTTACAAGTCTTTCAAATTTCTATACACCACACGACCATCTCTTCTACCCAACCACATCACTGTATTCCTCCACACAACTATCACATCTCCACCACACTGCCACATCACCACACCACACCACCATCTCTTCTAACCAACCACATCATAACCCCACCACATCACTGTATTCCTCCACACAACTTTCACATCTCCATCACACTGCCACATCACCACACCACACCACCATCTCTTCTAACCAACCACATCATAACCCCACCACATCACTGTATTCCTCCACACAACTATCACATCTCCATCATACTGCCACATCACCACACCACATCTCCTCTAACCAACCACATCATAACCCCACCACAGCGCCAAGCCACGACCCGCATTTCATATTTCAAATTAGAGACGGAATTGAAGCGTCACATTCAAGATTCTTGAAAAAAATCTTACATGGAGCATGAAACATTACCGATTCCTCAGTGGAAATAAGGCACTTGTTGTTTTGTAATTCTGCTGGTGTGGCGCAGATTGATTCTGACAAATGCATGTTTGTCACTCCAGGGGTTAATCAACCTGCAACCATGTGTTATAACGACCCGGTAGAGAGGGTAGCAATGAATTATTCATTTCTTATATCTTCCAAAGTATACTGGGGTTAGGGTAGCCTTTTTGGTTAAACTGGTCGCTCGTCACGACGACCTTTCATCAAATCCTCTCAGAGGTGGGATGTGTTTTCAAGATGAATTAGTGTAACAGGGGAAAGAAAACGTTAAACTGCCTGATAAGGTTGTTGTTTTGTTTTGATATTAGGTAAAATGCAGGAAGGCTTTAGTTAGTCAACAACAAACCGTTTCATCATGTCCTGTGCATGCTGGTGATTGCAGATAGTCTGTTTCATTAAAGTGATTTCAAGAGGAATTGTTGCAACAAGGGAAACAACTAACTGTTTCATTGTGTGCAGATGCCAGCACTGAGACTGCTGAGTTGGTGGAGTCCCTCGGACTGAGACCCGTTCTCTCGTGGTGCGCTCGTCCCACCCTCATCAAACAACTACCCCAGGGTAGGGTCGTGGGATATGACAACACCTACATGTAAGCAGAAATAGCAAGATATAGTGGTACTAACTCGTCATGCATAGAGGGCGGAATCATTCTCCAAGATCGATTGGTAGCAATGTGTGTCTTGGCCGGTAGCGATGGTCATATTTCTTGCTTAACCACTGGTTTGTCTAGCCGTCAGACCCGACATACATCAGACCCGACTATGTACAGGTCGTCGTGATACATATAAACTATTTCAGAATCGCGATGAGTAATATTCACTGACTCATTAAGAAAGGCGGTTTCATTGGGGAGGTAACATAGATCTCCGGGTCTTATAGATACTGAAACAGACAGGATTGGTTATAAAGAGTCTTTGCTAAATATATATCGAATCAGAGGATGACAGATGGTTCTTCCTTCTTTCAGGACACGTGGTACAGAGACCATTGCGACCTTTAGTTTGGGTTATGCAGATGGGTACAACAGGCTGATGTCTGACAGAGGTGTGGTATCTCTGGATGAAGGTGAGACCATTCATCAGTAATGTGTTTGGTCATTAATTATTCTTGTTACAAATACGGGAAGTGTGGCATCCAATAGAATTCCAAACATAAGTCCTTGCCTCCGTTACCTAACATGACACTGCTTGAGAACTACCTCAGCTTCACAGTTGCATCCTTATCAGGGCCCACTGGTCTTGATCTTCAATTTGACGTACGCTTCAAAGCATGCAGTGTTAAACCCAAATTACTCACAAACACAATTTACTCATCATTTCAGATGATGTCCGGTGTCCAGTTGTTGGTAGAGTGTCCATGGACGCCATCACAGTTCGCTTGGATCAACCAAGGCCTTCGCCCACGACGTTCAACATCATCACGGATGACTTCACCTCCCCAAACAGCGTGACAAAGATGGCTGCCATTCTCGGCACAATCCCCTATGAGGTGACGACGAGTCTAGCTGCCAGACTACCACGCGTGTTTATGTCTGGTGGACATATTGTAGCTGTCACGAAGTCGTTGATGACAGATGAGAGATAGTAGTGCGTTCTGGACCGTGTGGGAAAAGTGTCTGCCCTATGAACATTTTCTACGTATAGAAGCAAGGGTGTCTTGAGCAGAGTTAAGTCCCTTGTGGTGCCCGAGAGTCTTCAGGACAGATGACAGATTATATTCCATATAGTTTGGATCGTGTAGGCTATTTTCTTGACCACCGAACCATTGCCCATGTTGTGCTGAGATGTGTCCATTACTAAAATGAAACGTTTTATTACATACTTTAGTATGAAAGACTGCCTTTTCTGAAGTTGAGAAAAGTGATTTTTTCATTGCAGTGAACATAAGACTAGATATTTCACTGCAGTGAACAAAACACTTTGATGGAACTACTGTCTTTCAAGAGTTACATCCCCGCAAATTATCTACCTTTATCGTAAGAGTCTCGCCCATACACATACTTTCTATTTACGCATTCCACAATGACAAAGCAAAGTAGTGACTGATGATCAAGTTATTATCGCTTCTTGCCGATTTTATTCTCTTGAAAATGTTTCGTTATAGATTAAATTTAACTCGTCCATTCGTTTCGCAAAACGTATTTTTTGTTTCTTGACCAGCGCGTATTCTTTCGCTTCCAACAACAGTCTAGTAGATTTCAAGAATACTTTTGTCTTAGTATATTTTGTATATAATCATATCCAAATGTAAAATAGATATTTTTTTTACATTAAATATTTTTGGTTACTTTTGTAAATATTGTTTTACTGATTTTGCAAACACTCTACTACTTTTTAAGTTGCAATTACAAGAGGTTGTGAAACGTCGATAAAGGTTTAAATTTAATTTTCAAAAAGTATATAATCATTAGGAAATTCCAGTGAAGTTCCTCTCATCTCCTTTCCCCCGTCAGTAGATGTTAGAAACATGATATTTCACTCGACACACGGAATATCCTCTTTATATTTAGGTGATTGATAAATCGTGCTCATACATGGGGCGGTATGGCATTAATACTACCCCTAGGACATACATCAGTAAAATAACGTGTAAGGCGTCGTCTCCGTACAGAGGACTCTCGTAAACTCATTTGAACGATTAGACTGAAGGATGACTTCCTCTTGACCACGGATGGCTGTACATTGAACTAGATCCGACATTAAACACGTGTACTGAATGCAGGTCTGAATTTTACGTCCTCAATCAGTCCCAACGAGTTGACTTGTGAATAACGTCTGTACAAAAATTGAGCCAAGACCAGACAATACAGTGATGAACCAAGTCAGCAAGCCTTACCATCCGATCCTTTCAGTCACATCTTACGGCAGGCAGAGGTTGCAGGGGACCTGTATTCTCAGTGTCTGCAGCCTTCCACGAGTATTCTCGATTAAAAGTAGCTATATATATGTGTTTTATGTTTAATTAAGGTGCATGCAGAACATAGGTCAGCATACAACATAATATAGATCACTCGACTTTCCATTGTAGAAAATGTGTGTGTGTGTATACAACCATACGTTCAAATGTTTGCAATAACAACCAGTTGTACAATACTCATCTAGCCTGGGTCAAAGACTTGCTTCAGGTCAAATATTGGAAAATGTTTCATAAAAACTTAAAAAATCATCGATGTTGTAGAATGTCTTCTACACATGGTGTTGACACAAACAAACAATCATTGAAGAGAACAATTTTTGTTTGTTTGATAACTTTTATAGACGTTTTGTTCAGTTCTTAAAAAAACATGAAGATCTAAAGGAGCAAACAGGGCCCCAATCACAGCGACAAAAATATATTTCAGTGATATTTCATAGAAATGCACCATGCCACACGCACACACACGCTCTCGTGCACACGCACACGTATTTTCCTGTGTACACGCACACGCGCCGACGCGAGATATACCAACTACAGTTAGTCATTCATGTATGTACTTGTCATCGTTCCTATTCTCGGCTCATTGCTTTGTCCTGAGCTACTGCAGTGCTGTCACAAATTACCATGACACAAACGAGCCCCAGCGATACTTGATACACACAACACAATTGCCTATATGCAATGTGAATATATAGAATACTAAACGAGCTCCCGTGTAATACCAATTTTATGAAACGAGTGAATAGTTGTGGTATCTGACGAGCGAAAGCATATCATATAATGGGTAGTAGGGCTGGAACGGGTATCTCCGGTACTCGGGTCGGGTGGGTACAGAGTAGGAACCGGGTACCCTCAGGACTACCCGGATCCATGGTTAGTCACGTGATATACTGTTTAATGACCATAAATCTGTGTAACTCCAAGGTTACACTACAAGTCGCTAGTGTTCACATTTCTTTGTGTCTATGCACGCATTACTTTTGACTTTTATATGTTTTGAGTAAAAATAAAGCTTCAGTTAACTTCAGCGTATGCATGACCAGATCGTTTTATATACCTGTGTTATGGGTTTTCGGACGCTTAAGAAACATTCGTAGTTTTCTCTATAATCACATGAACAACTGTAAAAGATCTCATTCACTTATAAAAGACAACTTTCTCTTTCAAACAAGTCATCATCTGTCTACTTACAATGTTTGTGTGATGCTACATACCCCATAATTTAGCGAGGACACTAACCAAGAGGAATCGGTCTTCAACTTTCCATAGCTGTGCTTGTAGACCTCTGTGGCTTGGAACCTTTTCCCCAAATTAAAACAGTTGGATTTGGCCAAAACATGTTCCATTTGTTACCTAATTTTATAGATGTGCCTTTGCCTTGCCTGAGTCACACTTAAAAGGCTGAGTGAAAGTCTATATGCTTGTCATTTCTCACCATTTGTTTAATATTCAAGAATGAATATTAACAAAATAATTAAATAATTGCAAAGAGTAACTGTCAAAACATGTGAATGTTGTTTCAATATCAATCTAGAACATCGACAACTCCATGCACATTTTACAAAATCAACCTTTCTAAAATGCGTCAACCATGTCTCTGAAGCGGCTGTAAAATCACGCATGTGCTTGCTTGTTGTTTGATACCGCACAATATTCGACGGTCTGTAAATATTCGAGTCTGAACTAGACAATCAAGAGATTGACATTACATCGATCCAATCAATTTGATACAATGACCCCGCCTATTAATTTAGCCGCCTCTTACGACCTGTATAGTTTGTTGGGGACCTTTATTCTTACATTGGGTGCCCACGGATCGATGTGTCTCAACTGTATCAAACGTGAATAAAACGTTTGCATGTTACCGGTGCCACAAAATCGTAACAATCATAATTATTTATATCAATGAAATTTGAAGAAAAAATATTACCCTTTTTGACAATTCCATGTTTTTCTGTTTCAATATTTCTGTCTAAAATATATGACGTTTAATTATTAACATTCCGTCAGTTGTTGATGATACATTAGTTATAAACCCGGTGAACCTTATCAAAATCCATGGCAAATAAAATAAAAGAACTAAAAATGATTTGGTGAAGGTTTAAATTTGCCCTCAACAAAGATGATTGCAAGAACGAATTTTTAATTATTATTCATTTCTTGAGACCAAAATTATTTCTAATGTAAGCTAAACACTCAGTATACAGTACCCTTAAATGGTTTCAGCATATGTTTTCAATTACTTTTGTCAGTTATCATGCGTAAGTTTCAAATGAACGAATGTTAACTCGCCCGGACTGAGGAATAAGTTAGTGAATGTCCTCAATTTTTAGAAAACACATTCAAAAGTAAATAGTAATTAAATTAATCGGCATAATGCTACCACTGTAATAGTAATAGTTATTTACTCAATGATGATATATCCCGTAATATGCTAAAGAAATACAAAAACGATGGAAAGCAATTATTAAAAGAAAGTAAGATGGGTTGTGAATTTTTTTTAAATCACAGTATCATTGAAAAGAACATGATCACAGTTAATTTTGCCTTTGAGTAATCTCCTACCATCCTACCCCGATGGCATAGATCTTTGGGCATGGTTTCCAGCCACTGTCTGGTCCAGGCTCGATAATGACAGACCACTGAGATATAGATGCAATATTTCTGAATTCTATGGAATAATGTATGGGACATTTTTTTGCGATCTCGCATTCTTGTGATCTCGACCTTTGGAAACGAGCTTAATATGCCCAAAACACGAGAATGCGAGATCGCGAGAACGCGACATTTGGCCAAAATCTTGGTTCTCGCGATCTCGCATTCTCGTGTTTTTGGTACATAGCACTTTTGGTCAAAAGTCGACAACGCGAGAATGGGACATTTGGACATGATGCAAAATCTCGCAATCTCGCAATCTCGACTTGTCAAATTAGGCCACAAAAACACGAAATCGCGAGAACGCGAGAATGTGACATTTCATTTTCTCGCGATCTCGCGATCTCGCGATCTAGCGTTTAAGACGCTGTCCGTGCGCATATCATATGTCAAGGCGCATGCGCACGTTAGTAGTCCTTTGGTCATGCTTCTTTCATGCTTTTCATTCTCCAAGTAGCATTTAGCAAAATTATGACTTGAGCTTGAAAATGCTATGTAATTTACAAACGCAAAGTCCTATCTGGAATAGAGTAGGGTCCTCTCCCGTTGTGACACTTTCCTATGTACTTTATATTAAAACCCTCAACATGCTCAATATAATTTAACAAAAGAAATTGTGTACATGAATGTCCAATGATAGTGATGTGTCCGAAAGCTGGAAACGAAACTATCACCGTCAGTGAGTGAGTGAGTAATATTGCTTAAAGCCGCATCAGCATTATTGCAGCTATTGGCGGCTACACTGTCAGTTACAGAAATAATCACAAGCCAGTGAGTTTCTCAATGAGGCAAATTTATACACGGCTATAATATTCATTAAAATAAAATTCTCACAGACCAATTTGTAGCATTCGCTTAAAATGATATTTTCCGATGTTTTTTTATACGATACCATATTCGCAACTTCAATTAATAGATTTTCATCCGCTCCCGCCTGACAACAAAACAACCGGCCTGACATTATTCTAATACCCTCAAATTCCTAGAAATAGAAGTATCGTTAATATGAGTGTTCCTACTTTCCTACGTTCCTACCTGATAAAATACTCCGTACACGTAGCCCTACTGAACACACATGATGCATGTGAATCGCACCCGTCGACAGCAATTGTACACATATGCCTAAAGTAGGTCGATAAGAACAAAATAAAACGTTAAAAATAAAATGCCTCCTGTCTCCCATGTTTTTAAAGAATCAATCAATCTGTAACTTTTAATTTATTGCGGCCTTAACATCCAAATGACAGGCATGCTTATACTGGAAAAGTACCCTAAATATCCAGCCTGAGGGACCGGCATGGCTCTGTATAAGTGAGTGAGTTTGGCTTAACACCGGTTTGAACAGTATTTATATTTCAGTTATATCCCGGCTTGTCGGTTTAAAGAGGCACTTATCTTCTTCTCGGCTGTCTAACAATGCCAGCTGGGGCTCACTATCTGCAGTGAGTCGATTTGCTCGCTGACGCAACTGAGCGTGACAAGAGACTGGGCTACCGTCTTCAAGAACACTGATTGGTTACCCGTAATCTATGAATCTCAGACAAAGGGCGCATGTTAATCAATTTCTACAGCCAAAACAAACGGACAAAAAGAACGATGGAAGCTCGTTATCTGGAAATACCCCAGATGGTCATAGTTTAATATACTAGTAGTTAAAAAAATGGTATCCAGCAGTGAAAGCATTTTCGGATTTTGGATTGCACGGATAATACGATTGCTATCTCTGGTTGTCATAAACGTTTTCTGGCATAACCCTACACCTGTGTCTTTGTTGCCTTTCACCTGAAGCTCAGTTAATGAACCTATTACAGGTATAGTTAGCGGTAGCCCCACTCAGATTACCTGACAAAGGTTCCCATTTGGCATGTCTTGTGTCTGGTGTAATTATTTCATCTGAATCCAGGTTTGAAGTGAGGTGAAATGTATGTTATGTAATAATCACGTGGCAGCCAAGCAAGAGGAGTGAACAGTTCATTTACTTTTTTTGTAAACGGATCATTCCTCGCGATCAAAAGTTCCACAGAAATACGTTCATTGTTTAATCACTGTTATCTTGCACAGTGGATTTGTCAAAAGTAAGTGTTTACATGTGTAGGTTTACTAAAGCAGATGGAAAACACTCATATCATGGCGTGAAGTGCCGATGTAAAAACAACATACTTGGCTCAATGGATTAGCCGATAATACTTTTATTAATTGTTCATTGCTTTCTAACTCCATGGATAATTTTTAAGAACCATGGACATCATGAACATAATTGTCACATGTGCTATCTTAGCCTACCGATGAGACTTGACACCTTTGTGAAACATCTGAAACAAACTTAGTGATCAGTTGAGAAACGAACACAGGTTTTAATATTCAGGAACGCTATACATATATTTTAAAATATTTCATTGTAACAGAGCCACTTGACGTCGAATAATTTTATTTGTTCAGCTGCACACATATGGGATATTGTGCCTATATGTGAATTTTCACGGATACATTCCTTGAACAAGGAAGCTGCCCAAATTTATACATAAAACTTTGGTGGGTCGCATTCTCGTGTTTTAGCTCGTTTCCAAAGGTCGAGATGGCGAGAATGCGAGATCGCGAGAATGTCCCTTACAGTATTCCATAGGACGCAGCCTCTATCAGCATACACTCAGTCACCGCATGCAGTGCAAACCGACCGAACGTTGAAGGAACATCCGGTTTTATTCTCTTCAGTACCATGTCCCATAACGGCGAGATGAAAGCTCCTCCCCCAGGCGCTGAGATGTACACCCGGGCTGGACGCAGCACCTACCTCCGTATCAACCTCGACGTCCTCTACAACAACATCTCCATTCTAAAGCAGCGGTGTTCACCACATACAGGTTGCGATTATCAACAATAACCCATCTCCTTTCTAAATGATCAGAAAGCTTCTTCTTTGCCTTGTGTTGTATTGAACAATTTGACAAGAAATGGTATATTAAATAGGTTATTAATAATAGGTTTGGAACCATTTGTAGCCATTACAGGAGAAGAGAACAGAGAGATATTATCATTATGTCTAATTTAATGCTGTTCATTTGATGAGCTCAATTTTACATTAACATGAACTTAAAAATGTTTGAACTGTGAACCTTATAAGTTCCAACGCTCTCAGTCAATTTCTCGTTTAACATACACTCTTCAAAAAAAGAAACGCACAGGTAGATTTTTAGTAAATGTATTGTACCTAATACAGGCGATATATTTAATATGATAGATACAACTATGCAATTTTGGAGCTCGTTGTCGTTTTACAAAGGCATTGAAAACTGTTCATTGTCATGTCACATATTAAGTGGGGTGAGGTGAAATTGGGTTTAACGTCGCGTCCAAGATTATTGCACTTATATAGCGACGTTCACATATTAAGGCCACAAGGTTGCGCTGAACTCAGTATCTCGTGTGACCGCCCCTGGCAGCAATCCCGGCTCTGCATCTCCTCAGCACTGACTGGATAAGTGTACGAATTCTGTCCTGCGGAATTCTGCACCATTCTGCAAGTAGAGATCTCGACGGCCAGGGCAAAGAGTTGATGTTGGCATTATGAAGGTAGTCTACCGTGACACGAGCTCTGTGCATTGGAGCGTTGTCCTGTTGAAACAGCTCCCTCTAGCGGTCAATGATTGGAAGAAGGTAATGGTTGAAGAATTTGATTCATGTAGCGATTTGCTGTCAAATTTCCATGAACCACAACCAAGTCAGATCTCGTGGTGTAGGATATGGTCCGCCACACCATGACACTACCCCCACCGAATTTGTCAAATTCACGTTCACAATGTGAGACAAAACGACAACGATAAACATGTTGTCTTCCATCTCGCCGGTGAAGAAGAAATCGTGATTCTTCGCTAAACCACACTCGTCTCCAGTTTCTCAAATTCCAACGCAAGCGTCGCTGTCGACGGATTTGTTGCAAAACAAGGACAATAACTGGTCTTCTGGGTCGGATTCCAGCCTCGCGAAAATGGTTCCTGACAGTCTGGTCTGATATCCTCCTCAAACCAGGGATGCGTCCTGCAGTCTCCGTAGCTGTGGCATTGCGATGACGTAGGCGGACCAGTCGAATGTAGCGATCCTATACAGGGGTTGTAACTCTTGGTCGGCCGGTTCTCGGACGGTCTGCAGTGGAATTGAACTGTCGTATCTCTCACAAAGGCGGCAAATGGTGCTGTGTTTGACGTTGAAGTGGCGTGCAACAGAAGACGGTTCCCCTCTTTGGATGCCTCCTATGGAGATGTTCCAATCGGCAGCGCTGAGTCTCGACATTTTCGAGCTTGAAAAATGTTGACAATTGAATGACAAATTATTTGCTTATGCTTGCCTTTTTATAGCCACTACCATGAGTTACAATGTAGTTTAAGACATTGCAAATCGACAATGGCCTCGTTTTGACGCACTATTTGTCGAATATCAGGCCACCAACATTTTCCAATACATATGTCCAATTTATATACCAGAGTTTTTGTGTAGTCAGGTTCAATGAACTACATACTACCTGTGCGGTCCTTTTTTTGAAGAGTGTATATCTTTATGGTCACATTAAAATCTTTATCGACCCTATAGTCTAATATCACAGCTGCGCTTGTCTAGAACTGCGGATATGTCATGTGCAATGAACATACCATGGGTCTATTTGTGAAGCCTTTCTTTCAAGCAGACGTCATTGCAGTGATGAAAGCCAACGCCTACGGTCACGGCAGTGTGGAGATATCCAGGTATCTGGAGTCCCGGGGGGTCGGGCACTTTGCCGTCGCTACCCCCGAGGAAGGCGCTCAGCTCAGGCAGGCAGGGATAAAGGGACACATACAGATATTAGGTATATACCTCCAAGTTACGTGGTACTTCTTTCCGTTTGATATGTGTTCTTTGCAAAGATGATTTCGTATGGTATTTTCTACCCTTTTCCCCTTTGTGGACATCAGGGTGTGTTGGTCTGTGGCGCTGCATCTTCATTTTCAGAGTAACGTCCCTTAGCTGTGCCAGGATCCTTAGTTCGTTGATTCTAATTCCATATTCGCCTCGATATGATTCGTGGGGTGTTGCCATCATATTCGTGCTCGTTTGAGTCAAAGTGGGAACTTTCCAGCCTATGACCAGTTTCAGATCGGTGTTGTCCCACATTAGCCTGATGTAACTGAAATACTTTTCAAAGTGGCGTGAAATCCATCTGACTCACTTCCTGTGTACAGCAAATCCCGACTCACTCTTTTTCAAAGAAAGGGATATGTTTTCTTTAAAATAAAACAGCAAACGTCTTCATGTATATTCTTTATCTATCACAGGTAACGCCGTCGAGGAGGACATCCCGACACTGGTGAAGTATAGGTTGACACCGACGGTGGCAGAACTAAAATTCCTTCAGGAATGGTCTAGGGCTTTCACAGCAGACCCCGTCAGTAGCAACAATGCCGATAACGACACCATCAGTAGCAACAAAGTCACCGACAGCCACGCTTTACAGGAGAGGGTAACTTAAAACTCAATGTGATTTCCTATATGCTCATTATTTCGAGGCAATACGGTTACATTTTTACCCTGTTTATTCGTACGGAACTTGGATAAACAAAGTGTATGTGTTGCATCATGTGTGAATTAAGAAGGTATCGGGTATTTCCAGGTTAGGAAGAGACTCCAGCTGGTGCTGAAGATAGACACGGGGTTGTCCAGGAATGGGTGTCAGACTCAGGACTTCCCCTCACTTATACAGGTGGGTACGAGTGTTATTCTGAAAGCAACGTTGAGATGGTTATATAGTTGCTGCTGTTGCACATAATGTGTATATTTCTGCATATCAAATATTTGCATATAATACATAGCTGAACAGACACCTGTCATTGCAGACGTGCACATTGTGGCGGTCATGAATGCATGATAAGCCGCACGGTGTAATTGTCTCATTGAGATTTTTGTTTTTCATCTTGCAGTGAATGCATATTTATCAAGATTGATTCGCTATATTTTGAGAATTGTCCCCTTGCAGTTCTGCCAGACACAGGGTCTAACTGTCCACAGTGTCATGACGCACTTTTCTCAGGCCTGGGACAACCCCCACTTAACCAAGCAGCAGCTGAACACCTTTATGGCGCTGGTAGAACCGCTCAGGTATACTCGTACACCCTGACTAGTCTGTGAAACATTACCAGTTGGTTTACTAACATGCTGTGTGATAGAACCGCTCAGGTATACTCGTACACCCTGACTAGTCTGTGAAACATTCCCAGTTGGTTTACTAACATGCTGTGTGATAGAACCGCTCAGGTATACTCGTACACCCTGACTAGTCTGTGAAACATTCCCAGTTGGTTGACTAACATGCTGTGTGCTAGAACCGCTCAGGTATACTCGTACACCCTGACTAGTCTGTGAAACATTACCAGTAGGTGTATTGACATGCTGTGTGCTAGAACCACACAGGTATACCTCACACCCCCTGGCCTCTCTGTGAAACATTACCATTAGGTTTACTGACATGCTGTGTGCTAGAACCGCTCAGGTATATTGCAGGTCATTAAACAGTAAAACGTTTATTTTGTATGAATGAGTAAATGTATAATATAATCTGGAAAAAAAAGCCAGTGGGTACAAAAAAATATAAATAAAATTATTAGAAACTGTTACACGTGCAATGCCAACTTAAACATATGAGCATCTTCATTTCATCCATGAACTACACGGTGTATCTCTAGTACATACATGCCTCTGTTTGGTGACGCAGCCTGCCTGCCAGTCACAACTTCAATATGAAAGTGTGAAATGTTCGCTAAATGTATAGCCATGTTGAAACAGGCGACTTGGTGACTTGTTTTCTTCTCAGAGCAAGTGGAGTGAAGGTTCACGTCGCCAGCTCCGCCACCATCATCAGAGGGTTTGGGACACAGCTGGACTTTATCAGGCCTGGGATCTGCATGTACGGGCTTCCTCCAGGTCAGGCATGTGTCGGGAACAGGACTCAATGGTCTTTCAAATTTCTATACACTACACCACCATCTCTTCTAACCAACCACACCATAACTCCACCACATCACTGTGTTCCTCCACACAACTATCACATCTCCATCACACTGCCACATCACCACACCACACCACCATCTCTTCTAACCAACCACACCATAACTCCACCACATCACTGTATTCCTCCACACAACTATCACATCTCCATCACACTGCCACATCACCACACCACACCACCATCTCTTCTAACCAGCCCCACCATAACCCCACCACATCACTGTATTCCTCCACACACCTATCACATCTCCATCACACTGCCACATCACCACACCACACCACCATCTCTTCTAACCAACCCCACCATAACCCCACCACATCACTGTATTCCTCCACACAACTATCACATCTGCACCACACTGCCACATCACCATACCACACCACCATCTTTTCTTACCAACCACATCATAACCCCACCACACCGCCAAGCCACCACCCGCATTTCATATTTCAAATTAGAGACGGAATTGAAGCGTCCTATTCAAGATTCTGGAAAAATCTTAAGTTGAGCATGAAACATGTCCATTCCTCAGTGGAAATAAGGCAATTGTTGTTTTGTAATTCTGCTGATGTGGCACAGACTGATTCTGACAAATGCATGTTTGTCAATCCAGGGGTTAATCAACCTGCAACCATGTGTTATAACGACCAGGTAGAGAGGGTAGCAATGAATAATTCATTTCTTATATCTTTCAAAGTATACTCGGGGTAGGGTAGCCTATTTGGTTAAACTGGTCGCTCGTCACGACGACCTTTCATGGAATCCCCACAGGGGTGGGATGTGTTTTCAAGAAGAATTAGTGTAACAGGGGAAGGTGAAAACGTTAAACTGCCTGATGAGGTTGTTGTTTGGTTTGATATTAGGTAAAATGCAGGAAGGCTTTAGTAAGTCAACAACAAACCGTTTCATCATGTCCTGTGCATGCTGGGGATTGCAGATAGCCTGTTTCATTAAAGTGATTTCAAGAGGAATTGTTGCAACAAGGGAAACAACTAACTGTTTCATTGTGTGTAGATGCCAGCACTGAGACTGCTGAGTTGGTGGAGTCCCTGGGACTCAGACCCGTTCTCTCGTGGTGCGCTCGCCCCACCCTCATCAAAACACTACCCCAGGGTAGGGTCGTGGGATATGACAACACATACATGTAAGCAGAAATAGCAAGATATAGTGGTACTAACTCGTCATGCATATAGGGAGGAATCGTTCTCCAAGATCGATAGCAATGTGCGGCTTGGCCGATAGCAATGGTCATATTTCTTGCTTAACCACTGGTTTGTCTAGCCGTCAGACCCGACATACATCAGACCCGACTATGTACAGGTCGTCGTGATACATATAACTATTTCAGAGTAATATTCACCGACTCATTAAGAAAGGCAGTTTCAGAGGGGAGGATAACATAGATCTCCGAGTGTCATAGATACTGAAACAGACAGGATTGGTTATAAAGAATCTTTGCTAAAGATATATGGAATCAGAGGATGACAGATAGTTCTTCCTTCTTTCAGGACACGTGATATAGAGATCATTGCGACCTTTAGTTTGGGTTTTGCAGATGGGTACAACAGGCTGATGTCTGTGGTATCTCTGGATGAAGGTGAGACCATTCATCTGTAATGTGTTTGGTCATTAATTATTACAAATACGGGAAGTGTAGCATCCAATAGAATTCCAAAAACTAGTCCTTGCCTCCGTTACCTTACATGACACTGCTTGAGAAGTACCTCAGGAAAACATAAATGCCCATCACATAAGTTTTGTTTCACCAGTTGTTGGAAGAAACCAGGTCTTTAAGCATCTCTTCACAGTTGCTTCCTTATCAGGGCCCACTGGTCTTGATCTTCAATTTGACGTACGCTTCAAAGCATGCAGTGTTAAACCCAAATTACTCACAAACACAATTTACTCATCATTTCAGATGATGTCCGGTGTCCAGTTGTTGGTAGAGTGTCCATGGACGCCATCACAGTTCGCTTGGATCAACCAAGGCCTTCGCACACGACGTTCAACATCATCACGGATGACTTCACCTCCCCAAACAGCGTGACAAAGATGGCTGCCATTCTCGGCACAATCCCCTATGAGGTGACGACGAGTCTAGCTGCCAGACTACCACGCGTGTTTATGTCTGGTGGACATATTGTAGCTGTCACGAAGTCGTTGATGACAGATGAGAGATAATATAGAAGCATAGTATAGTATAGAAGCAAGGGTGTCTTGAGCAGAGTTAAGTCCCTTGTGGTGCCCGAGAGTCTTCAGGACAGATGACAGATTATATTCCATATATTCTGGATTGTGTACAGAATTTTCTTGACCACCGAACCATTGCCCATGTTGTGCTGAGATGTGTCCATTATCGTGAACGAGCTTGTGGATTTTACTAAAATGAAACGTTTTATTACATACTTAAGTGTGAAGACTGACTTTTCTGAAGTTAAAAAAAGTGATATTTTCATTGCAGTGAACATAACACTAGACAATTCACTGCAGTGAACAAAACACTCTGACGGAACTACTGTCTTTCAAGAGTTACATCTCCACAAATTATATAGCTTTACCGTAAGAGTCTCGCCCGTACACATACTTTCTATTTAAGCATTCCCCAATGACATAGCAAAGTTGTGACAGATGTTCAAGTTAATATCCCTTCTTGCCGATTTTTTTTCTCTTGAAAGTGTTTTGTTATAAACTGTAAACTTAACTCGTCTATCGAGACTGTTCGTTTCGCAAAACATGTTTTTTGTTTCTTGACAAGCATGTATTCTTTCGCAGTCTGGTAGATTTCAAGAATACACTCTACTACTTTTTAAGTTGCAATTACAAGAGGTTGTGTAACGTCCCTAAAGGTTTTAATTTAATTTTCAAAAAGTATGTTATAGAGCGCAAACTTGCTTAATAATTCATATCAAAATATAAAAATAATTTCAAAATTTATAAAATAAACTAACGTATCTTTACAGTAAAACCTCGGACATCTCACATAAATGGCAGTAACTCACTTAGGTTGTAAAACCATGCTGCGAGACATAATTTAGACAATAGATGTTCGTTTGCATTACAGTCACTGGCTGCGTGTCAATTCAAGATTGACACACTGACCAATAACGGTAATCCCCTTGACAAGTTGGCGGTCAGTCTAAAATGCCGGCAGCTCAACTAAACGCCAGCCTTTGTTTTTTTATTACCTTAATCCACTATGGGCAGACTTTAGTTAGGTAATCTATGAGAATATTGTATCAATCCGGAACAACACATGAAATAACAAAGGAAGTAATGTAGACAATAAATTAAAATAATGTTTTCAAAACTAAACCAATCAGAGTTTGCTATGCGTCCCTCCACTATATAAGTAGTTGCAGTTTGACTGCCAAGTCACACTGCACCTGAATAAATCTTGGAACACTAGCAACTCCGATGTCATCATTTATTCTCAATTCTTCCATTCTATTTTAAGGTCTATTTCATGCGTTGTTTCAATGGTTGTTTTCATTAATGTTGAATGTGTATTATGATTATTGTCTCAAATTGTTTCAATTGTTGTTTTCAAATATGTTGAATGTATTTCATGATTATTGTCATAGATTTCTTGAACATTGTATATTTTCAATTACATGCGTTGGTTCATTGTTAAGTTATTGTTTAATATATTTTGAATCGTCTATAACAATTAGGAAAGTTTTCAACATTAAGTAAGGCGCACTATGCCACTTTAGGTATCACTTATGTAGGTTGTAGTAATTTTCGATCACCAATTAATTATTCCTGATCAACATCTTGATAACCGTTTGATAAATAAGAAATCTAGTACAAGTATCAACAACATCGTAAAGTAAAATGTGTCATGTCGTCATTATGTGTAGATTCATTGCCAGCAGTAATGCTGGACTTAGTTAATAGTCAGTCAGCTTTGTTCTTGATAGGAAATGAAATACCTGTAACTGATGTTAATATTTGAATGCACAATGCTTGTATGCGAGCTCTGCATAAAGTAGCTAAATAACACTTGTATTAGAAGAACTACAGTAATGCGCGAAACTGCATTACCGTAATACATCTACAAATACGTCTATCATTAATGTTGCATTATTTCAGCTGACATTGGCATTGTGAATCATATGTGTTGTCTTTGTTATTGTGCCATTATTTAAAGTTCCATCCTGATCTATTTGTGTATAATGTAATGGTGATTATTTGATATGTTATAAGATTGAAGCGAAATGCTTATTAATTTATATTCTGAGTAGTTATGTCATAAGAAACCACGACGTTATGACAATTATTTGTCATGATATAATTTATGATTATAAGATATGATTATGTGATTAATTGAATTGAAATGTTTATTACACACTGCACCTGAATAAATCTTGGAACAGAAGCAACTCTAAAGTGTCATCATTTATTCTCAATTCTTCCATTCTATTTTAAGGAAAAATTACCGTGATACATCACGTTCTCAGCTAGTGGAGAATCAAAAGATCCCAACCTTCAAATGCATGGCCAAAACAAAGGAGCTACACCTACAGTGTTCCCCTACGGCCGGCGGACTATCCATTCAAGCTCGGAAGGTGAAAACTCTATCCCAGCAAATCACCGAACCATCCCCATCAACGTTGAAGTTGCAGATCTTCCTCGTGAACCAGACAACCAAGCTCAAGTTCTCTGGTGGTTTCGGAGAGAGTTTTAATGTATGGGTACACAGGCTAAAGGCAACATTTGAAGCTAACAAATTAGATGACCTCAATGAGAAAATACTTCTCCATTCACATTTGGATGGTGAAGCAAAATTGTTTTTTGACTCTCTCTCAGAAGGCTTTGAGGATACCCCGTTAGCAGACTTCCTACAACTACTGGAAAACAGGTTTTCCACATCAAAATACTTTGATAACAGGGAAATACGGAGACAGTGAATCAGTACCTCGACAGGGTCCAAAGACGCATTCTGGGAGTCCATATCTAAAAGGACATCCTTGTATCCCACGTTATCAAAGGCCTGTATCCTTCATACCATCTGTGGGTGAGAGGTAAAGATCCTCAATCTCTGAATGAGATTCGACAACATGCTAAGTTTGTCGAACAACACCACACCATAACCCCACCAGGAGCCTCCAAAGAAGAAGTTGATAATATCGTTGTTTCAGCACTGGCAGTCCATACATATCAACAGGAACGATTAAAAGAGCAACAAAAGCATAAACAGTATCAACTATCTTCCCAAGGGCACAACTACCGTCATCACCAGGACTACCAACCACCTAACCAGGGGCAGCACTACCATTATCAAAACTACCATCATCTGAACCACCAACCATTCCCCCAAGAACAGGCCCACCATCGCCAGTATGACCGACCACATTCCCTACAGTTATCCTACGATCAGCGTCCCGAACGACAACATCCCCAACAGCCACCTGCCCATCAATGGCAAAGATACCACCATGGAAAAGACTTCCATGACAAGAGAGGCAACAGGCGATATGGCAACAAACAGATGGGATGCGATGATGACTCATGCAGTGGTTGTGGAAAGGTTGAAAAGTGTAACCCCCAAAAAACATGCCCCTATATAGACATTGTTTGTCAAAAGTGTTCAAAATCAGGCAATCACACCAAACTTTGTGGTGATTATAACCGATAGGATAAGGCACCTGATTCTCATCCAGGTGAGGTCAGGCAATATGAAGAGGTTCATTTAGTTGCCCCAATAGACAAAAATACCATTTTAGCATCTATCAATTCAGCAAAGATTAAGGCATTGGTAGATACTGGAGCATCCATATCATGTGTAAAGCTTAGCTACCTTCAGAAAGCTGGTTATTCTCAGAAGCATTGCATCCTGTGTTAGGTACCATTACATTGCCTGTTAGATTAGCACATGTCACGTTTGAGCATAATTTTCGTGTCTTTTCTAACCTTCACCATGCACTTATCTAAGGTCTTGATTTCATGGAAATCAACAAAGCCCACATTGACCTGGGCCAACGCACATTTTCACTTTGTGAAAACCTCGTAACCTAGTAGAAACTAACTCAGGCCTTGCTAGGTCTCTTAAGTCTCGAAAACTTGCACCTAACCAAGAATGTCATATCCCTGTCATCCTTTCTCGTACTCAATCTGAGAGTATTTGTTTACTTGAACCTGTTTCAAAACCTTCATCCAAAGTGCTAGGAGCTAAATGTTTAGTTCACCTTCGTGGCAAGAAGACAAGAATGTGTATTTTTTACCCATCAGAAGAGGAAGTTTTCATACCAAGAAATAGAGTGCTAACGACAGTGTCCCATATTCAAGAACATGAAGTTCACACATTGACTGATTCCAAGCAGTCAGGTGACATTCCAAATATCAACACTGTAACCCCAGAGAGAAGTGCTAAAAATCCAATTCAGTTTGATCTCAGTGAATCTGACCTTTCTGACACTGGAGGACTGCAACTGCATCAGTTCCTGCAAACCCAAAGCGATGTCTTTGCCACAGACTGGAAGGAGTTAGGTAAGACCAAACTTAATTATCATGAAATAGACACTGGTAATGCTGATCCCGTCAGGATGCCATTCTACAGACAGTCTGTACAGGTTAGACAGGAATGTGCAAAGCAGGTAGAGCAAATGTAGGTATTATTCAGCCATGTGAGTCTCAGTGGCGCTCACCAGTACTTATGCTTAAAAAGAAAGATGGGTTCTTTAGATTTGCTGTGGATTATCGGAAATTAAATGCCATTACAAAATCTGTATACTATCCCCTCCCAAGATTTAATGATGTAATTGATACAATTGGCCAATCCAAAGCAAAACTATTTATCGTTTTGGATTGTGCAAGTGGATTCTGGCAAATATCATTACATCCAAATTCTAAAAATAAATCAGCCTTTATCACACAAGAAGGTGTTTTTTAGTTTAATCAGTTACCCTTTGGCTTAAAGAATGCACCAATGGCTTTTTAATCTACTTTGGCTCAAGCTCTCAGAGCAATTAATTGGAAGTTTGTATAAATATACATAGATGATTTGATCATCTACTCCAAAACATTCTCAGAACATCTCAACCAGCTCAAAGCCGTTTTTTTCCAAATTAAGAGAAGCAGGTCTCACCTTGAAACCAACTGAATGCAAATTTGAAGCCAAAAAGGTAAATTACCTCAGGCACATATTTTCAAAGGATGGTATTGCTGTTGATACGGACAAAACGGAAGCTGTCCAATCATTCCTAGTCCCAACTTTTCAGCAAAAAGTGCGCCA